GAAGAAATCAACTCAACTGCCTAGTGTTGTTCTGTACAGTGCCTGATTCAGGAGAGCATAAATATAAATGGACCCTAAATATTCTCACAAGGAGACCTTTCTAGCAGGTCTCCCTAGACCCTACTGCAGAAATCAACAGTTTTCTGATAATAACAAGATGTCCCAACACACCTAAAAGAGTCCTGGAATGCAGACACCCATCTTAACGTCCAATCAACCCTTGAATGTCTCAGTCCAGCTTACAATTATGGCTGCACATTAAGGCATCCCCCTCACTACAGCGCGAGGACACAACTCGGTGTCTGTGGACATCATAGAAGTCCTGTCACCTAAATGCTCTCGGAAGGCTGGTCAGTGCCATTTACAATGCAGCATGGAGGCAAATGACAGAAAAAAAGGTAAGGGATAGTAAGAAACATGGAAGCAGCGAGATCCATTTAGTTTCTCTCTGCCTCTCAGCATTACAGATGTTGTTAGCTTTAGTAAATGCTGTCCTGGATGCTGAGGAAGGTGTTTGCAAACAGCCACCAACCCAGCATCCGTGCAAGAGGGACCTTTTGCTGGCAGAGATCCGTGCCGCAGCGCTGGCGGTTCGGAGCGTCCCCTGGTGAAGCTGCTCTGGTGAGAGGGCCTGCGCGAGGGGCAGCGGCGCTCCCAGGAGAGCGCGAGGCTCCTCCCGCAGACCCACAAACAACACCAGGCAGCAACTTGCTTTTTCATGTCCCACCAATTCCTTCCTACCCCACATGTCACCCTCGCACTCCCCCCGCCACATCTACCACACGGGTTATAGCGAATTACCGTCCGGAGATGGAGAGCAGCACCGGCCTGCGGGGAACCGTCACCTTCCTGAGAGGATCAAGGAGCTCCCAAACTCCACTGCCGCCCACATCACCTTCCCCTGGAGCATCCCCAGACAAGGGCAGCACTGCCCAGAGGACACCACAGCATCTCCCTTTCCATTCCCACTGCAAACAGACAACTGAGCCCTGTCTTGGCATCAGCAGGCCCTTATTGTCATCAGCCTCTTCTGAAAAGTGCTGGGCCAGCAATGACTCTACAGCTGCGACAATTTAAGCTGTTAATTTAATTATTAAATCATTTAAAAATGCAATAATTTGATGGAGGGAACTGAAGTTAAGTGTGTTACTCACTGTGAAGCTCTCAGGCAGATTGAGGAGCTTGAGGAAGGTTTGCCCTGTGTCCCCTCAAGCTGCACAGAGCTCTTGGCAGACGTGGTGGTAGCTGCAGAGACGAAATCTCCATGGGGCAGCGCAGCACAGGCTTATTTGTCTTTGTGAAGTCCCCCACATCCATTTCTGATGCTGCACGTTGGCTGAACGCTCTCCCCTTGTCTAGATTACGGGTGTCTTGTACCGAGGCACCTGAGGGCAAGCACTGCAGCAGAAGCTAAAATGGCCCATGCAGCGGGCGAGCAAGGCGAGCGGGTTAGCAAATCAAAGCTGTAGGGGAGGTAGGTCACAGTGGAACTAGGATCTTGCCATTTGTTACTAAAGAAACGTTGTGAGCT